CAAAGAATGCAGTTTAAATTGATCAAGTTTCTGAACAAGAAATACCCTTTGAATTTTTTGTCGAAGAGTTATATTTTATCCAAAGAAGGATATATTGCATTTATATACTGCTTATTTCTAGTACAAGGACTTGTCTCAATTATCTTTTTATGAAAATCCCAATGAATGGATGATGTGAACTTTTTTCTACAGACTGAACCTTGCAGTTGTTAAAATAATAAGTTGACACTCAAAAAATACATAAGGCATATTTTGCTCCTGAACACGAGATATGTGGCCTTTTTTTAATTCTGAAGTTCAAATTTGTGCACACTGACTATGATGAAAATTAACAAAATTCCAGCATGCAAATTGATTGAGACAAAATTGAGGATCAATACTGTTGGAACTTTTCATTTTTTTGATTGCAATATATTATTCCATTTCCGCATAGTAGCTGTGACACTTGGAATTTCAATTTTTTGTTGTTTATTTTTAAGAATTCTGATGGGGACAGTGGTACTTCAAAAGTCAACTTGTAAATTCAAGTGGAATGAAAATTTAATATCAGGGTCTAGTTTTAAAAGTAAAATGAGTGAATATATAGAGAATATTACATACTAAAATCCATATCATATGTCATATCAGCCCGAGTGGCCCCATATCAGCCCGAGGGCCGAAGGCCCGAGGGCTGATATGGGGCCCGAGGGCTGATGTGACATATGATATGGATTTTAGTATGTAGTATTCTATTTATCATATATTTAAAATACTTAATATGCGAGTTCACATATGGTCGTTGAAGAATGTTTGTGCTTGTTAGTGACAGTTTTCTTTAAAATCTAATAGAGCCAATTTTAGGTAACTGGAAAAAAATTAAGACCACAAATGTCATTGAAGAATTATTTTATATGAATATTTAAATAAAATCTAGTAAATTAACTTTTAAACTTAATACAAACGTTACTTCCGGTTTGATATGGATTTTCGGCCCGCCGGTCCGATACGTGATATGGCTTTTCGGACCGGTCCGTGATATGGGGTATTGTGACGTCACCCGTATCACACCGTGCAGAATCGGTGTATTTACTACTAAGTATATGATAAAAAATTTTATTGATTAGTTTCATTAAGTTCACTATGATCATGTCATCGGAGATGTGTGAAATTTGCATATTTATGTTCATATGAAAACACGAGAACTATTTAGAGTTTTCAGTTTGTAGTCCCTTTAAAGTCTTTTTAGTTTGTTTACATCAGAGACGGCAAGTTAACCATATTATAGATGTATAGGAAAACAGAATTGCAGTTATAACATTTCTTTAAATTGTTTTTTCTTTGTCTCATTAAAGCATCTTTTGTAATGCTTGAAATCATGCTCCATGTGAACCTTTGTTTCCTGAGGATAAGTATTGTACTTGCTCTATAGTTGTTAATAAACTTGCACTCCAACAATCATTAACTTATTTCTTTCAGCTAAAGTAAATCAAGAAATTGCAAAATGAAAGTTTGCATAATTTGCAAATATATCTTTTGGATCACAAAAAGTGTGTAGTCCGAGGGTCAAGAAACAGACTAAGACTACTTCAAATTTTTAATCGCCTATAAAATAATTATTAATTATTCAATGAATCTTAAATTTTGCAGATAACAATTAACACCTTAATTTGTTAATCAACATTAAAAAATATTTTTTTAAATTATCTACTTAAGAATTTTCATGATCCTGGGTACAGGTCATAACTTGATACCAGATAATCTCAACCTTATCAGCTGTAAGTCTTGGAAGATATTTTGCACATTTAAAATTCAAGGAAGATGCTACCAACTGTTAGAACTTGCCCCGCCGCCACCAAAATTAGTTGAGTATAAAACTCAGCCTCAAATCTGAGAAAATTCTCAAACCCATAATCTCAGCCTCAAGTCACTGCCACCAAATATTTGAGTGCATACTCAAGTCAAAAAATTGAGTACGTACTCAAATTATTTGAGATAGATCTTGACCTTTCTCAAGTAAATACTCAAACAATAAAAATGGCTGCTCACAGACGACATAAACGGCGCCGCCGAAGACAAATGCGACATATTCGTAGAATTTCAAAAAGAGTAATAAGAGACCGAATGAATCCGTTAGAGGAGTATTCTGAGGATGAGATTTTCGATAGGTATAAGTTTAGACCACCTACTATTTTATATATTTTGGACAAAATACGTCTAGCATTTATGCATAATACTACAAAGAACAGCGCCTTACCTCCCATTCTACAGATTCTCACCTGCCTGAGGTTCTTAGCAACGGGGGCGTTTCACAGACTGGTCGGGGACAGCATTGGAGTGTCTGAAACAACTACTGGAAGATGTTGTCGATCAGTCTGTGAAGCTATAGTTCATTTGCTGGCAGATTGTATCACCTTCCCCAAGGGTAACCGTGCCAGAGAAACAAAACAACAATTTTTGAAAATAGCAGGTAAAAAAACCGCATCTTCCCAATGAAATCAAATTATCAATGTCCTTTTCATTTTTCGTCTACATTGTACTTTCGGTTTTGTTTTTCAAAGAAAGACAACTCCAATGAACAGACAACTCGTACAAGTTTACTACCTAGGCTTAGGTGCCCGTTATGTGTTTCTACTCTTTAGATTGCATGACAAGTCAAATTATAAGAAATATCTACTCAAATAACTTTAAAATAAGTTTTTTTTTCATATGGACGTTACAGACTTTTATGGTTTGAAAACATTCAACATGTAAGAGATACTTATAGAACTACACAAACGGTTACGGTTTACGTAGTTTCATTCATGTGTTAGAAGAAAAAAAATATATACCTTTTTATTTATTTTTTTAAGATTCGAAAAAAATGAGTTAGACTTATCATGCATGCTTTCATTTAATTTGATCTTTTCTTATAGGATTTCCAAACGTTTTAAGGTGTGTTGATGGCACATTTATTGGAATTATTGCCCCTACTGACAACGAACCTGATTATGTCAATCGTAAAGGTTTCCATTCGTTGAACGTACAGGTATATTTTTTGCGATGTTTTAAAATAATGAGCACGGATTTTAGACTTTTTAGAGTGAGAATTAATCAATCAAGAAAAGAAATTGTCAAAATCCTACTTGTTAAATAAAGAGAAGGGGGATCAAAGTCGCTTCATTAATCTTATTACTGTAAAACACGGGGGGTTGCCCCCATCAATTCTGTGCATGTTGATGTTGTCGATTAATTAACGCACATGTATAATTATGTTTCGTTTTATATTAAATTATTTTAAAGGCTGTTTGCGATGCCAACTTCAGAATTACAAGTATTTGTGCGAAATGGCAGCGTTCATGACAGCCGAATATGGCGCGAATCTGCATTGTGTCAGAAATTTGAGAATGGTACAGTACTTGTTTTGCAATCACTTTCCTATCATTTCAAAAAACAAACCAATAAATTATTTGCATTTTTCAGAGTGTGATTCTGTATTACATCTTATAGGTGAATATAACGGATTTCTACTCGGAGATTCTGGTTATCCGTGTAAAAGGTATCTTATGACACCGTTTCTGAACCCTTCTACTGTCCCACAACAGAGATTCAATGCATCACTTTGTAAAACAAGGGTACTAGTAGAACAAACGTTTGGAATTTTGAAGCGCAGATTTTCATGCCTACAAGGGGTACTAAGGTATTTGGCATTTGAAAATTAAAAAAAAAGAATAATTTTAAAAACTTGTTAAAAAGAGATCGTTGAACTTAATCAGTATTTTGCATTCAATTATTTTATTTTGTCAGTAGGGACAAAGAATAAATCAACAACCGTTAATTGGAGAAATAATCTGTAATTCATTCTATATCAGGACAGACCCACGTCAAGCTACTAGATACATCGTTGCTTGTGCAATATTGCACAACATTGGAACAGACAGGGGTGATATCGTGGATTGTAGACAAGATGAAGTTCAACTGCTTGGTGGAAACGACAATGCATTACATGTAGTTGGTGATGGATTGAACATGCGCAATCACATAGTAGATAGGTATTTCACTTAAGTAAGATATTTTATTACCTATACAAAACTCACAAAGGGGTACCTGTGCGAAACGAAATAGAAACGAAACGAACTGAAGCGAAACGAAATCTGCCGAAACGAAACGGAATCAAAATTAACGAAACGAAACAAAATTAACAAAATGTTTCCTTAGTGATGTATATATTTACATGAAGGAACTGCTGAGAGCTGCGAATATGTGCGAGCGTACTATGCATGTATAATATTTCAGTATATGTAGTAGTTTCTAATTTTTATGTCTTACTCCAGTGGCGGATTTAAGGGGGGGCGCACCCGGCGCGCCCCCCCCCCTAAAATTGTCAAAATTAACGTAGATCAGTTTCGTATAGGAAATGTAAATATGTATACTCGATAGACCTCATTTTTACCCTACAAAATCTCTAGAATCCAGGAGCTTCCGGGGGCTTCGCCCCCTGGATCCCCACTAGGGCTTTGCCCTGGACCCACTTGGGGCCTCAAGGCGGCCCCAGACCCCTTACCTACTTTTGGCGCCCCCTCTAACTTCAATTCCTGCATGGATCCGCGCCTGTACTCTCATTTTCAGTCCTTATTTGTCTACATGTACATGTATATGGAAAGGGGGATCCATACCTCAAGTGCTTGTGATTATGATAGTTTGGTTTGCTTTCGGTAGGTTTCGTTTTGATTTTGATTCGTTAGGCCTTGATTTCGTTTTGTTTCGGAAGATGTGGCGTTTTAATTGTTTCAGTTCATTTTTATTTTGTTTCACATTTTACAGGTACCCTTCGCCAGATAAAATATAAGATTTCATAACACAATATTAAATGCTGGTATGCCTTAAAATAGCTTTTGGCAATAATTAACAGATAAATGTTAACGTTATATGTATTAGTATTTATTTTTACCAGTATTATAGGTTTCATGTATTTTTTTTCTTAAATAAAGTCATGTACATTTAATTTTCCAAGAAAATTACACTCGTAATTGAAACAATTAACGTTACAATTCATTACCCAGACTTGAATTACTTGTATAAATAATCGAATTTGGATATCGCTCCTCGAACTGACGGACCAAAAACGCCTTCTTAATTTCAATTAATTCCTTTTCTGCCTGTAGTTTCTGCTTTTCAATTATCAATTTCTCAATATGGAGCTTAATTTTTTTATTATCCAGTTTCATATTCTCCAAATCTTCTTCTTTATACGCATCCTTGATTCCTTTTCTCTTTGGCTTTTTAGAAGAGACTTGATGGCCAGTGGCTGCAGTCTTGGGGGTAGCAGATTCAGAGATGGCAGAAGATATACAGGCAGAAGATGTACAGACAGAAGATGTACAGGCAGAAGCCGTGCCGTTGTCAATTTCTGTTAAATTTACACAAAGAATTTTAAATTTTTGTGAAATAAGAAGGTTGAGCAAAATTTGAAATGGAAAGCTTCATCTTATTTTTGTTTGTACCATCAGTTGCGTCTGTGTCTATGCCATCCGGCAGTCCGCTTATCTGTGGTCGCCCTTCAAAGGCCTGCATCAGAGCGTCCTCGGAAGCTGTTAAAGAAGAAGGCGCCGGACCCCCACCTGTCTTTGGTCTTCTCAACATGTCAATCTTTTCTTTACCTGGGTCAATACATGTTCTCTTAATTTATTTTAAATGAGCCGTCCCATGCGAAAAGGGCCCTTATGTACTTTGACGTCATAATGAGAAAAACGACGGTAAAGACAACGTCATAATATGCAAGTTGCAAGTGAGACATTTCTCGCCTTTTTAATATGAACGTTATCAATTTTTTTTCATGATTAAGTATACGATCTAAAGCCATTCAAATATTTTTAAATTAAAGGAATATCTCTTTTTAGCACAGAGCTTAGTTTCACTTGGACATTTCCAATAATGAGCATAAATTTTGCTGAAAGATGATACCTATTCCGATCATTTAATTTTTTTAATATCCCATGTTTACGTACTGATAGAGGTTGTACCTGCATGTAATTCCGCATTTATCATGTACACATCATTTTGAATGCTAAAACATCATAACCAAAGTGAAAATTTTAAAATAGAAAGTCTTTTACCACAATTAAAGTTCAGGTTTGTTCACATTCACGATTAAAATTTTGCTGAGGTCTAGCGAGGCCAAAAAATTTGAAAAAGTTTAGTGTCAGATCAATTCTTTGTAAAACAGATGCATAACAAGGTAAACATCTGAATTTTGTAACAAGATTTTACAGCGAGAACTGAGATCTATATATTTTGTCTGTATAAACGTCATAAATGACGATTTGCCTCCGTCACAGCCATAATGACACGAGTCAATTCTATTTAAGGACAGACGAGACGTTCCTTAATAATAGATAATTTTTTCTAGGAGTTTGTCATTGAAGTATTGCTACTTAAACATGTTTACTCAAAAAAAAAATGAGGTACCTTACCTGGCATTTCTGCAAGATACCAGGGGTAGTTTTTCTTATGTAATCCTTTGGGGAAGAAAAATAATTTTCCAATTTCAAATATTTAAATGTTGGGATTTTTCAAAAACATTTAGAAACTGGTTTAGAAATCAGAATGTTTTTAAAGTTTTGAATATTTTTCCTACATTACGAAGATATACAAAACAGATTTTGAGGAACGTCTCGTCTGTCCTTAATTACAGAAATATTTGACATTAAAGACACATTGTGTAATTTTTTTAATGTTTGGGGGAGAGTCGGGAAAATAAATGAAAAAAAAATCTTTGAGCCCCCCCCCCTAGAATTATACTTCAAATAAAAAAAGGCCATATAATTTTTTTTAATTGGGACGTTGATGCTATTAAAGGGGGCTGTGGAAAATAATGGTTCTTTAGAAAACATCTTCAATTAACTAATTTAACAAATGTTACATTTGGAAGTAATTTTCACATGATGCAGATGCCTGCTTCTATATCACAATTAATTAAAAAAAATTTGTAAACAAAAATAATATCCTGGAAAATTTATCTGAGAGATTGAATACAATATCGTTTGAATATTTTTTTTCATTTTACACGAAAATGCTCACACAGTTTATAAGAAATAAATTCCGGTAGATTTAACAAGTACATGTAGTATATACAAATGCATGAAAATTTAAAAAATGTAACGGTAATGAGCAAAGACAGCAGTGATGTTCATTAATGTCGGCGATACCACCAGAGATGATACAATGTACATGTCATGGGCTATGGAAGGAAATTGAAAGGGCTAATCGAAAGTGAGGGGCTAAACAAAAAAAAATGTAAATCCCAATTTTCAATTCCTAAATAATTTTTTTTTCGCAAAAAAAAGTGCCCCCCCCCCCCCCCCCCCGTTCCGACGCCTATGCATGTAGACACAAGATTATTCATTTAATTTCATCACAATTTAGCCCACTCAGAGATATAACAAGTTAGACTTTTAAGCTTAACTTAATGTTTTTAAGTCATTTTTAGATAAATACAGCATGTACAAATCAGAAAGCCACAATATAAAGGCAAGGATATGAAAGATTTAGTATGATACAAAATACAGTTTAATTGATTATGTTAATTTTCTTTGATTTTTTCTCTTAATTCGAATGTTTCAAAGTACATGTATCTTTTTTTTTTATCTTAAAAAATTATTTATTTACACATTTATTTTAGCAAAATGATGTGTGTGTTTTAGGGGCATACATGGAAATTACGTCTCTCCCTTTTTTTCAAAATTGATGTGGACGTTTAATTTGTGCATAAAAACATACGCCTGACTACGCCCGTGTCAAAAAGGTTCAAACTAAATTAGGCGGAAAGAAGGGGTACTCTTGATGAATCAATGACTTTTAGACTTCAAAATACATTGTGAACTCATTATGACGGTCCGAGGATAAGATGTATTGATAATTTATCAAATATTGCATCTTTAATTTCCGATAGTTTGCATGTTTCTGCAAGACATATACGAATGTTCATTTGTTATGTTTTAACTCCAAGGAAGCGTCTTGAATAAAATTTAGTTTTTACCGAATATACTCAATTATAAGTCGGTTCGCTAATAATTATAGTTCCAATTCAGACAGTTTAGGAGGAATTTGATTTTGACGCGCTCATAATTGCAGTTTTAAATTTAGCTGAATATTCAAGATGAAATTGATGAAAAAGGTTCAAATACTCGGTACAAATATTGTGACGGATGGGGCCGACAATATTGAAGGGAATTAATAACATGTACAATATCAAAAGAAACATACATAAAATGTGACCAGAAGTATTGTCTTGGCATGTTTTATCTGCATCATTTTTTTTTCAGTGTATGACAATCAATATTGGTATGTTTAGTAAGTGAGATCTGTTGTGTCATTGTACCCAGACACAAAAGAATGAACGGGAATCCCACCATCAAGACCCTTAAGCTTGTTTAACTTGTTAGGAAAAATAAAAATGGATTATTAATCAAAGGCGGGTCCAGGATCGGGCGTGCCCCCCCCCCCCCTCCGGTTTCAATTTTTCGTATGTAAAACTTTTGTCTATTGTTCTTATATCAAGGAAAAAACATCTTTTATTTGTAAAAGAAAAATTGTCACCTTCCGGGAGTTTTGCCCCCAAACCCCCACAACGGCCTTTCCTTAGACCTATTTGGGGCTTCGGTGCAGCCCCCCTTTACAAAATTCCTGGATTCGCCACCCTTAATTAATCAAATTTCTGATTCACTTTAGAAGCAGTCCTTCATATATAAGTTTAAATCACAAAATTAAAAAAAAAAATCAAACTGATTAGACCGTATTAAATAAAATTCCTAGATTCTCATCTGAATTTTTGAAGAAAAGAAAATCGAGGTGAGAGGCGGCTAATACTTTATATTTTTTATACTTTGCAGATTTTTTTTATTGACCTGGTCAATCGGTGCAGATTTAAGTAGAAAATCTGAATAAAAGTCATAGTAGGGGTCAATTTATTTCTTACTTCACATAATCACCAATCTTAATGACCCAGTTGAAAAATGCATTAATTCAGATATTCGCGGGAGTTGAGTCGGGTAGATGAATACCGATCCCGATCATTATTGAGAAAAATGGAAGTAAAAAGTCAAGGCGGGAGTAAAAAAAAAACTGGCTGGGAGGAAATGAGAATCTAGATATATTTTAATTTAAAATGGCCTTATGAACCATTAGTTGTACAATGAACAGCTATCGTATATAATAATATTATCCATTTTATCGTAATGGATAATTTTTTAAAGAAAATATTTTTATGTAAGTAAAATATGTATTGTATGTCAAAAATATTTAACACATAGCTTTTCTTCATTTTTTAAAAATTTCTTTTTCCCTGTTTAAATATTCATGCCAAACATAACGTCACATTTTTTAAAGCTTTTACCGTTATGAGGAAAAACCAAAAGCATTTTAACCGCTGCAAAATCATTATCTCTGTTTCGTCAATGAAAAAATTCTTCATTGGGGTTTTTTAATCATTTTTTTCAAATTGATGTTTATTTTGATTTACAAGAGAGACAATATTTCTCTAACTTGCAAAAATGATGACACTTCCTAAATGTACTTACATGTCTTGTCTGATACCGAGTCCTGTATGGCTTTATACGAGTATACAATCATCTTTATTTAAATTTTATCATTTGATCGGTTTTGACATCTAGTGCATGATTAAGAATTAATTTTACGAAAACATTTATATTTCAAATATTGCATGTTAAACAAAAGTAATATTGTTTTTTTGTAACATGTGTTCATGTTTGCAGGTAACAGCTTAAGGCCTTTCAATCCGGGAACCGATACCGATATAAAAAGATTCAATGATAAAGCGTCATTTAGAACGTCATTTTTTAACGTCATTTTTAGCGTCTTTTCAATATTTTCTGAAACTTCGATTGCCTGTATCTCAGTCATTAGTTGGAATATTTGAATGAAACTTGATATTTGGGTATTTTACACTATGTGCTACCATAATCCATTTAAAAATCAATTTTGATGATTTTAACCTTAAGGGCCCTTTTTGCATGGGACAGCTCAAATATGTCTTCATAAATTTGCATTTATTGAGCAGGCTTAGATAAGACAAATCAGTTACGAAAGCCCATTTATCTCATTTTCATAGATTAAAAAAATTCGCGAATAAACTCGTAACTTTAACGTTAGAGCGAAACTTTCGTGTTATAACGGGAAACTTGCTGTTTAACCAATACATTTGCATAAGTCTCCACTTTCTTGTTTGTGATCTAGTTTAAATTCAATACAATGAAGATTAAAGGCTATCTTTATCTTGGACCATCACAAGCAATAATTATAAGTTTTCTTGCAATTGAGTGTGTCTTTTCTGTTTCTAAATCTTGTTATAACGTGAAAAAAAATATTTTTTAACCTACGAAAATGAGCCCAACGATTTTACGTACATTTTAATTCATCCAGTAAAAAATGTAATTTGCTTCATTCATGCAACAATGTCCATTCCAATTTACTACTTTAACAAAAACAAAAACTTTATAAAAATTGTGTCCATTACCTTTTATGTATATAACAGTAAACTGTATTTCTCAACACGTATCATAGGCCGGGGGGGGTCCCTTTTTCCAGACATAACGTTACACTATAGAAATTAATTGAGCAATGAAAGTCAGTTTGCCCCCCCCCCCCCAACGCTCTCCCAAATAGGATTTTCGAGTTTGGATATTCC